TACTCGAAGCAGCACAAAAATCAATCTCCCGAGGTCGAAGGCAAAACTATGAACCCCTCTAGACCCAAGAACTGCAACAACTGCACCAAAGAAGCACTGAAGCAAGAGAAAAAAATTTAACAAGATCCCTATGACCTCAACGTAGCAAAACACAATAAACATCAGGCTATTTATAAAAGAGAAAAACTCACATGCATCCAGACAAGATGGCAGGAAAAGACTGCAGCTCATCATGGAGAAAGATGGAAAAAAGCTATGGCATCTAGTAAAGAGTCTCAGTGAGGAGAATAATACCAGCCGTGCCCACACTGTCATTGAAGATGGTGGGACAACTTTCATTGGTAAACAAGCAGCAAATCTGTTGGCTAATAGTTTTGCAGAGGAAAGCAAAATCTTCATGTCTAGAGCGAGAGAAGAAGAAGTGACGAGAGAACTACGGAAAATAAATAAAGAGCAGGAAGATAACCAAGGTTTAATGAATAAACTTTTCAGTCCCCAAGAACTTGAATGCGCATTAAGAAACCTTAAGAAAAGGAAGGCACCTGGACCTGATCGAACAACAAATGAAATGATAGTACACTAGGGACCAGCTGGTAGACAACGACTCTTAGACCTTATACACCAATCCTGGACCCATGGAATACTTCCTAAGGAATGGAAGGAGGCAGAAATAGTTCCCATAGCAAAGCAAGGAAAGCCCAAGGAAAACCAATCCAGTTACCGCCCCATAAGCCTCCCAAGCTGCCTTGGAAAGACCATGGAAAGATTAGTGAACAACGGGTTACTAAATTTCCTAGAAGAAAACAAGATATTGGATGACAGCCAATCAGGCTTCAGGAGATACAGAAGCACTGATGACCAAACCTCTTATCTCGCACAGGAAATTGAAGATGCTTTCCAGAAAAAATACAAACTGCTGGCTACTTTTTTCGACCTGACCAAAGCCTTCGATAAGGTCTGGAAGAAAGAACTCTTGCTAAAACTAGCACACTGTGGGATAAAAGGGCATATGTTTGCCTGGATTAGAGACTTCCTTTACAGACGCTGTGCCAGAGTCAGACTGGAAGATCACAAGAGTAAGCTGGTCAGGTTACAAGAAGGTGTCCCCCAGGGAGGTGTTATATCTCCTACCCTGTTTATTCTTTTCATCAATGACCTCCCAAAACTAGTTCACGACTCACATCCACAAGGCGCTACACGTCTTTCTAGGCCATATGGACCTGGCCATATGGACTCAAGCTGAACATATAGGAACAACTAAAACAAGAATGCAGGAAGCTATAAATACAGTTAAGAAATTGACAGACTCTTGGGGAGTCACAATAAACCAGACCAAAACCATCTCAACCAGAACAGGTTGATCTGTACCTAGACAGCAACATCCCTCCAAAAGAGGATAACCCCACATATTTCGGAGTAAAATTTGACAAAAGGCTAACATGGGGCCCCCACATTGAAGACACCCAAAGGAAAGCTACCCTGAGGCTCAGACTTATGAAGAAACTTACTGGAACAAGCTGGGGTGCAGATGCCAACACTGTACGACAAGTATACACAGGATACGTACGACCAAAACTGGAGTATGGCATGGGAGCATACTCCACTGCAGCTAAATCAAACCTACACAAACTGGATAAAATACAGAACACTGGTCTCAGAATCATCACTGGAGGTATGAGAAGCACACCAATTAATGAACTGGAGGCAACCTGTGGCCTCGAGAGCTTGAGCCTTCGAAGGAAAGAAAATATGCTTACCCTAACAGAAAAATTTAAACGCATGAACAACAACCCCATGCACAGAATAGCAAATAACTTAACCAAAAACCGACTGAAAAGACAAAGCTTTCACCATCTATCAAAATTATACTACACAAAAAACAGTGACATCCTTTCTAAAGATCCTTTAACATGAGAAATGATCCAGGCATACAGCATAGACCTACAGCCTAAATTTACAGTCACAACAACAATTCCAGGCATAGACAGAAAGGCTGAAGAGTGTGACCTAGTACTGCGTGCAAAGACCCTTGAACATGTCTACAACTGTTATCCAAAACCCGAATGGACACACGTTTACACCGATGGATCACTGGAGGGAGCAGAGAAAAAATGGAGGAGCTGGATCGGTCATCATGCTGCAAGATGGGACCACAGTAGAAACGTCATGCACCTCCGGAAGACTCTCAACAAACTTCAGAGCAGAGCAGCAAGCAATTATTGATTCAGCCAAAGTGCTCAAGGAAAGAAAAATTAAAAACAGCAAAATTGTTTTCCTTTGTGACTGCATGTCAGTCCTCCAGGCGACTCATAGGGATCCACGAGACAACATGGAAAGAGAACTGACCCGTCAGCTAAACAGACTCACAGAAAAAACAATCAAATTGTTCTCCAGTGGATCCCGGCTCACTATGCATACCAGGAAATGAGTTAGCAGACAGACTTGCAAAAAATGGAACAAAGGAGAAACAACACGCCCATTCATTGTCATTACCAGAAATCAGAACACTTATCAAAGGAAAATACAAGGGATTGTGGAGAGAACAAACTAACAGTAAACATCCACAAGACCCCATCAGCAGACTCAACAGAAAGCAACATACAACAATTTTCCGTCTACGAACAGGACACTGCAGGCTCAACTACCACATGCATAAAATAAAGATTGTACAGTCCCCGCAGTGTGCCTGTCAAACAGGACCCCAAACACCTGAGCACATTTTGCAGACCTGCCCACTCTACCTGCAACTTCGAAAAGACACCTGGCCTCAAGAGCAAAGTGTGCAGAGCAAGCTATAGGGAAATATGCAGGACCTGCAGCTGACATGCGAGTTCATAGAGGCAACCCACCTGATGGTCTGATCTGAGCATACGAAACCGAACGCAAAGAAGAAGAAGAAGAGTAATTCATAAGTTAAACAAACCAAAAATACATAATATTTCACAAATGTAAAACTTTGGTATGTTATATATTTACGTAAACATTTATTTTACAATAGTAACAACAAAATTGCTTGATATGAAACAACGATGGACATTGGTCGTTACTTTCTTTTAGGCACTTAATGTCTTGTGTATATTATATTCAAAATGCAATTTCTAAAACAAGGACAAACAGGTATAACGAACTTTTTGTAACGCTGCTAAATAAAATGGGAAATACTGAAAAACGTCATACATAGATAACGGTGGCGGGCGTAGGTCGGTTACAGAAAGAAGTATAAACAGGATAAAGGGAAGGAGATTCTTAGGCAAAAGGTTGAGAATCTTCCCTCCTTATCCTGTTTATTTCTCTTATATAATTCTCCTATGGCCATGACACACAGTGTCGGCAAACTAACTGATAAGTGCATGGCAAAATCAATGACATGAGGAAGGGTGATAATCCACGCCACTCTCCAGAGCACTTGATGATAACTTCCAATGAGTGCCAGGAATACTTGTGTCTTACTTCTCCTGTTGTTTCAGTACATCATCAACGGCGACAAGGTCGCCCATTGGCTAAACAGTAGACGACTTCGTCCTCGGTCGGGACACCACTGGATCTGTCTCTTTTGATCGCATCAACACTGCAAGAAAGTTTTTCAGGGCTACTTGGTTGCGAGCTGTGTTAAGCCACTTTATATCGCATAAATAGCCTGTCACAATTATAACCTAAAGCTCCCCCTTCGGGGATGCTAGTTGAACGCGACGATAGTATTTCCACAGTACAAGGAAGGAAGGATGTTGTTTCAGCAACGCAAAGGTCTCGCTTGTCGCCAGCGGCTTATATGGCATACAATGCTAGTCATATCTTTAGAAACCAGTTGGCACTCGATGGATGGTGGCTGCAATTTTCATCACAGTCGTTGGAGTGCATCTGCCTGCGAGGCAATGAACCAACAGTATCCATACAAATAAGCTGGATATGAAAAACGGATTTGCACGCGAAACTCAAGTCATGGATCGAGACTAAAATCCAGGAGTGGACAAACAGCCAGAAATTTCAGTCGTTGTTTAAAGCTGGTGAAAGCAAAGAAGAAGAAGAAGAAGAAGAAGAAGAAGAAGAAGAAGAAGAAGAAAGAAGAGAGAAGAAGAAGAAGAAGAAGAAGAAGAAGAAGAAGAAGAAGAAGAAGAAGAAGAAGAAGAAGAAGAAGAAGAAGAAGAAGAAGAAAGAAAGAAGAAGAAGAAGAAGAAGAAAAAGAAGAAGAAAAAAAAAGAAGAAAAAGAAGAAGAAGAAGAAAAGAAGTAGAAGAAAAAGAAAAAAAAGAAGAAGAAGAAGAAGAAGAAGAAGAAGAAGAAGAAGAAGAAGAAGAAGAAGAAGAAGAAGAAGAAGAAGAAGAAGAAGAAGAAGAAGAAGAAGAAGAAGAAGAAGAAGAAGAAGAAGAAGAAGAAGCAGAAGAAGAAGAACAAAAACAAGAACAAGAACGAGAACAAGAAGACTTTCCATTAATTCAACTAGAAACCATATTAGGCTGGGTCATCCCGAGAACCAAGAACATTTTGTAAAAGTCCACCTTGATGGAGATTCTAACTTAAAAGCTTCCGGCTAGCAGGCTAGCGATTAACCACTGCGCCACTTCGCCTCCCCAGTAACCAAAATTGAGCACCTAAAGGTTGGTGTTATTGCCTTTTTACAAAAGTCTAATTGTTAAAACATGAAACCAATAGTTTTACCTTCAACTGTGGAAGTATTAATGTTAAGTTAAAGAAGCCAGTCATTAATTCTACTTGAACTCTGTCACTTATAATATGATGTGTGATTAGCTCTTTCCTTGTGAGGGCCAGCCAACTTACAATTTGTTTGGTACTTTTTTTTTTTACATTTGTTTTTTAATTACATTTGGCCAAAGCGTGCAAAAGAAATCTGGTTTCTTCAATAGTTAGCTTCTTGAAAGGGAAAAATACTGAAGATGTGTCGTATCTATGATATTTGTTCTTGGACATCAGTGAAACCTTCTGGCACTGAACAGGTTATAGTATCGAAACATTCACTACAATTTAAAGTATACCTAACATTAATTAATTATACGTTAACGTAATGTTAATGCTACGGTTTCTGTAATTTTGTGAACTTTGTGTATTTAACTTATCGCTGCAGTAAAATCCATAGGGCGTGTTGGAACTTTCTCCGTAAACTGCACTGTTGGATGGCACCATGTGACTTTCGTTGGCCAATAAGATCGGGGCTGTGCTAGGCTCGTAGTAAGCACCAATAGGAAGATGGAATGTATTGTTTCTGGGACAACTACTGAGGATGCTCGTAGAGTTGTCATGGTAGAGAAGATGAGGCATGGTCGGTGATGCCCGTGGAGACGATTCGGCGTAGTCTTCATTGCGATTTTCTTGGCGTGGAATCAATCCCGTAGAGGAATCAAACGATGCGTTGTTTATGTCTATTTGAGAAGGTTCATGAGAGGGTGCGGGGTATACAGAAGCGTCCAACGATGAGGCTGGAGATCTGTTTGGACAGACAAGTCTGCAAGAGTGAAATTCTCGATACACTTGAGGGGATGTTAAAGTGATGTAAGTTGGCTCTTCTGGTTTGTTTTGGTCTCTCATGGCTGGATCAGGTGAGTGTTCCGGTTTAGAGTAAACTTCAGCTGGTTTTGGCGATAACAGATGATCAGCATAAAAAGCGGATGAAAGTGGACCGTAAAAAGACTCTGGCTGGAAACCTGGATTCTCAACGTCAGACAACGAAGATTCAACTCTTGCCAATGCAGTTTCCACAGGCTCTGTTTTAAAAACAAAAGCTGAAGTTGGACTTTCGTCGCTAGGACTCGTTCTGTGACCTCGGCTTTTCAATACAGACTGATTTATCCTACATCTGCTGCAGTCACCCCTACAGTCGTTAACTGACATACTAGAACACATCCTGGCTCCCACACCGCCATCAAAATTACGAGCTGGGTAGTCAATAGTTTGAGATCCCACTAAACTTGGCAAATTTTGGACATGCGAGGATCTCAAATTATCGAACGGATACCTTAAAAAATGCTGTTCGTGTGACTGCGGATAGTGTAGGCTGTCGTTGTTGTATTTGAATAACTTTACATCGCTATCGTGGTAGTAATTACCCGGATTGTAAGAAGGGTAGTTCTGGTATATTTCGATGTTGGGGATGCTGGCGTCCAAGGTAGATGAGGGTAAACAGTTGTTGGTGATATTGATTTGTGTAATTGGCAGGTGGGCTAAATGTTCCTTCTTTGACATATGACTAGCGGGTGTCCGACTGGCCATGTGACTAAACGCCGGAGATGCCAAGAAGTTTCTGTGAGGTGCAGAGTTCGAGCACATGCATTCAAATGGGGGACAGGAACACATGACCTCATCTGTGAATGAAAAAAAAAAACATGAATAAATAAACTTTTTACAAAGCTAACATATTTTATGCAAAGTTAAAGTCCAGAAGATCGACTTCAAACTAGTATTACTCAGTCTCTTTCCGTAGATCGGCTATCAGCCTGCCGAGAGCGTCACATAAAGTACGATCTCCGTAACTCCAGAGATGATATTCAGAGATCTCTGTAAAAACTTCACTCGTGAACTGAACGACACGTCTGTGACATGAAATCACGACTTTCATAACCCGAGCCAGGCGGCTTGATCAGTTCGCCTAGGAGACTCACAAGTTATCTCATGCAGACTGCTGTTAGTTCTTGAATCCTCACTCCCCGTGTGGGTTCCGTTGCCTCATTTGAAACAAGCATAGTGTAGAAGTTGACTAACTGGGCGTGTCTTCTTCAAAGTCGAAGTGCCTCTGAGAGGCGAGGAAACAACTGCCTGTTTACAAATAAGCTAGAACTGTAAAACGGATGCGCACGTAAATTTCAAGTTCTGGTGTAAGACTAAAGTCGAGAAGTGAACGACGACGACCGACCAGAACTTTCATCCAGAGTTTACAGCCAGTAAAGGCGAAGAATACCCTACAATCTTGTATCTTTAATGCGAGCGTTTCCCTGGTAAGATAACTAGTTAACACTCAAAATGATAATACTATGTTTTCAAAATTATTGTGACTGTATCTTCAAAGTGATGTCTAGTATATTCAATGTGATAGTGATTGACTATTCAATGTGAAGATGAGTCTATATTCAAGCAGATGATAAATACATCTCCAGCAGAGCGATGTGTGTACCTATAATGTGATTATTAGTGTATTTTGACAGTAATGAGGTGTGTATCTCCATTATGTTTTCTTTCATAGCTTTCATGGCTGTAATGGTTTCTTGACAAGTTTTGCAGAAGGTAGTTTGAATACAAATCTTATAGACGGGTTCTAAGAATATCATGGGTATAGAAAAAGAACAAATGCATCCATACTTCAGGAACTGAATATTGAAGAAGGTTGGTTATTAAAGACGTTAAACACAGAAAACTGAAGTATTTTGGTCATTCGGTACGTCATAAAGGTTTAGAGAGAACAATAACGGAGTTTTATTTACCTGGAAAGAGAGGAAGAGGAAGGCCAAAAAAGAAGAAGGGTCTACGATATGGCGGAAGATCTCCAGATGGGTGTATCGGAGCGGGAAATCTGGCTTGTGATCCATAAGTTTTCCAGAGGGTTGTTATGAGAGGTAGCTTCTGCAAAGGACACGCTACTGACTGACTGACATCTCCATTATGTTGATGAGAATGTCTTCAGTATAATGATTTATGTAATAAATCATATCTTCAACATAGCGATCAAATTATCTTTATGTCCTGATGAATATATCTTCAACATGGCAACGAGTTTCTGTGCACATGACGATTTGTGTATCTTCAGTGTAATGACGTGTGCATTTTCAAAATGGTAGTGTCTGTATCTTCAATATTCCGAGATGGCCTGGGAGGAGGAGTGGGGGTAGGGGACAGTTTTGATCTTCTCATTCTTCTTCACGTTAATCGCCGGTAAACTGTGGCGGAAATTTTTGGTCTGTCCACTTTTGGACTTATTTAACTGTTTCCAAAAACTCCGTTTTGAATAGAAACTATCTGTTCCTTGACAGCCACTATAGTGCAAGGACTAGACACTCGCCCACGGATCGGAATGCTGTCGGTTCGGATCATCAAAAATCAGGCTTTTTTTTTTAAATGACCTTGCCTTCCAGTTCGACCCACCTTTGAGTGGGTACCAGGTATTGTCATGGGAAGTGAAGACGGGCGGCGTGATGTTGACCACATCAACCAGCGAGTGCCGATTGGTCTATCCAATATAGGTCTAGCCCTATATGCCCAAACAGCCTGAATGCGTGAAAAATTGTCCTTTTTTATACTGGTTATTTGCCTCAGGCAGAAGCGCTCTGACTTCGAAGAAAAGCCACAAATTACTCGACTCTTACGACATGCTCCTTATGGAGGCAGTGGGTATATTCTGCTTTTATAGTTTGTTTTACCATCAACAAGCAGCACAAACAAATATCGAACCTTTCTCAGATATGAGGATCTTCTTCTCAAACGTGTCCTCGCTGCTCAACAAGGGAAAGCGACGCTTCCCTAGTGCAGACAAGATTCGGTTCTGTAAAGAAATGAAACCATTAATAAATAATTGTTCCGCTAAAGTGAAGAAGTGACACAATTTATAAATAATTATTCCGCACTACTGGAGAAATGAAATTATTTATAAATAATTGTTCCGCAAAAGTGAAGAAGTGACACCATTTATAAATAATTATTCCGCACTACTGGAGAAATGAAATTATTTATAAATAATTGTTCCGCAAAAGTGAAGAAGTGACACCATTTATAAAAAATTATTCCGCACTACTGGAGAAATGAAATTATTTATAAATAATTATTCCGCAATATTAAAGAAATGACACCATCGTTAAACAAGGCTATAGTAATTGTAAAAAAAGAATGAAACCATTTAAAAATAAATGTTCCACAACAAGAAAGAAATGATACCGTATTTATACAAGCATACAGTCTTCTTCTTCTTCTTCGATCCTTCTGTCAGAAAACTTATATCAGGAGGCCGGTAGCCTTTATGAAAGCTATCGTGCAATTCATATCCTCTTGTGTACCATACAGTTTTGTCTTTATTGTGGTTGGAACAGGCCAGATTGCGTCACTGTTGTCAGCATACAGTTGACAGTGTTGGAGCACATGCTCAGCATTTTCGGGTGCCACGCTGCAAGGACAAGTCTCCGTATTTCCTACACCGAAAAATGTGAACATATGTTGACGAAATCTGTTGTGCCCTGTCCTTAGTCTGAATATAATAGACTGCCCCTCTCTAGAGAGGCGATGAAGTGAGTCTTGGGGAGAAAATCTGGTGTGGGTATCCAGCCACCTTTCTTGGATACTAGATTGTATTAGTGTTTTCATCTCTTGGTGGGTTAAGTCGCTATTTGGTTGTACCATGTCACTGCCGCTTCCGGCTAATCTGTCCGCTATTTCATTGCCTTCCAAGCCACAGTGACCTGGAATCCACTGCAGTACAGATTGTTCTACTGAAGAGCCTAAGTAAGTCAGCTGTTGCGTCAAGTCTACAAACTGAGTGTCTTTTGGGTTAACAATTGCTTGTAGAACTGACATAGCATCAGTCAGAAAGACCACTCTGCTATATTTGCTGTGCTGTTGTCCATTCAGGAAAGAACATGCCGCTAGAAGTGCTTCTGCCTCTGCTCTGTAATTGGAGGAATATGAACCTGTTGGTACAGCCTGGTTGATTTTTAAACCATTTGGGCATTCTATATATATTCCTCCTCCTCCGTCTCTTACTGCTCTCTTGGCTGAACCATCTGTATACACTCGAATCCAACTCTGGTGTGGGTAAAGTCTATTGATCTCTCCTTCTGTAGTTGATTTCATATCAGTGCTGCTCATTGATGATTTGGAGGAGACCCCTGTTACAGTGGTTCTGACTGTTGGTAGGCTATCCCTAAGCCAAGCGGGGCAGTCGTTGTAAGGTTTAAGTGGAACATTTGGTATTATGGGAGGGAGTTTAAGGACAGCGAGCTTGGCATTTGCGTTCTTAATAAAGCAGGTTCTCTTTAGTCTAGCCTTCTGGGGTTTCTGCAGTCGGCTGTACATGGGTTGTTCTTGAAAGTGGTGGTATTTGGAGAGCTGGGTGAGGATCTTTGTGTCTCTCCTATCTTCCAGATTATGGAGACCAGTAATTGTTTCCATATCTGATATGGGCGTGGAGCGCATTGCCCCTGTCATAATACGGAGAGCATGGTTTTGGATCTTTGAGACTTTTTGAAAATTTGATTTAGCTGCTGTGCTCCAAGCAGCTATTCCATATTCTAGTGTTGGCCTCACATAGCCTGTATAGGTCCTCTTAAGGACATTGACGTGAAACTAAAGAAATAAAACTATTTGTAATAAGCATAAGAGAGTATTACAGAAGCCAGTTACCGGTGTACGTGTGGGCTGGTGAAATATCTTATGTAATAATTTCACATGTGTATAGCGAACTTATCGTACCCGACTACTTCCATCAGTGTCAAACTGCTTTTCTGGTGGCGACTGTTGGCTTTGACGCCTCTAACAGCTGCGGTACTGGGACAATTGTTTGTTAACAAATTTGCACATGGGACAGCGAGGGTAATTTCATATGATTTGCATTGGCAAGGGAACGGAGCAAGTATGGGGAATACCCGATTGCAATGAAGTTGAAGCATCGACCAAGACTAAGAAACCAAACCGTGTGTAAAACCGCAGCTTAAGAAACAACATCATAAGTTAACATGCATACATTCACATTAAAAAAAAAACTATTTGTAAAAAAGTAATATGGTAATCTGGTAATCCTAGTTTCAGCTTCATAGCAAACGGGTCACCCATAGTTGCTTCGCTCCTGTGCTAACGAAAAACACACGTAGCTCACAGTGTCACGCCATGCATTCAACCCAGAAGCTGGGTGACGAAACTATATCCTTCCAGTCTACAAATGGAGCAAAAATACAACGGCCACAGCTTGGCAAAAGCAAAAAAAAAAAGATTAAAAAAACATTTGCCATGGCTAATTAAAAAAAAAAAGGTGGCCGTGCCTAGCGTCCATTTTGACCGGAAGCATTATATGAGGGTTAATAAATGGTCACCTCCAGCAGTACCCTCACTATTAGCTGGGGAAGGGACACTTAGGACATTACATCCACCAGCAGGCGTCGCTGTGTACCACAGTATGGCAAAACTAGGGTATCATGGATAGAATTATGTCCAGCGCCTTTGTGCCTCCTCAACGACCATGTAGTAAGAGTGCTTTCTATGAAGTCGGAGTGCATCTGCCTGAGAGGAAAGGAACCAACAATCTGCATACAAGTGTGTCAGATCTGTAAAACGGATGTGCACGCAACACTCAGTTTCTAGAACAAGACTAATGTCCAGAAGTGGACGAGCAACCAGAACCTTTCACCGGAGTGTACAGCCGGTAAACGCGAAGCAGAAGAAGAAAGACAACGTAGAGAAAGTGGGTGACCATTTCTTACCCTGTCATGACACATTTGTTTGGAAAACACCTGTCTGCCTTTATCTGTCAAAGACTTGACCTCTGGCCGTGGGTGGTCATGGTAACCTTTGGCCTGGAAGTAAACGGCGTTGTTCACGTGCCGCCAGAAGTGGGTCACTGGGTAACCGCAGTGACCTCGACACGACAGCAGGGTCAACTTGCCAGTGCATCCCACATTAGGGCACGGTTTTCCTATATGAATATCAAAGAGAATTGTATTAGACACGTATCTGAATGCAAATTGCATGTGTAGGCACGCACAAACGCGCGCACGCACACATCCTGGTGTACCTATGTTTAGGGAGGAAAAAAAAGGGGGAGAGGGCATTCCACGGCAAAGTGGTCAGATTGTGTGCGTCGCGCTTAGAAGGTCGTGGGTTCGTTCACAAGTGCACTTTTTTTTTACAGAGACCCCTGAGGATAGTCGCCTTGTGCTTCATGCTTTCTGCGACACTCTCGGCTGGCGGCTTGCTGCTCTGTTGATTGAGACTGATGATGATGATGGTTTTGATGATGATAACGATTATTTCTATTACCATTATTTTTATTTGCGAATGTCGATGACGATGATGACGACGATAATGATAGGGCTGGTGATGATGATGATGATGATGATGATGGGGCTGGTGGTGATGATGATGATGATGATGAGGCTGGTAGTAATGATGATGATGACGATGATGATGGGGCTGGTAGTGATGATGATGATGACGGGGCTGGTAGTGATGATAAATATGATGATGATGATGGGGCTAATAGGGATGATAATGATGGGGCTGGTAGTGATGATGGTGATGATGATGGGGCTGGTGCTGATGATGATGGGGCTGGTAGTGATGATGATGATGACGATAATGATGGGGCTGGTAGTGATGATGACGATGATGATGATGGGGCTGGTGGTGATGATGATGATGATGGGGCTGGTAGTGATGATGATGATGATGATGATGGGGCTGGTAGTGATGATGAGGATGATGATGGGGCTGGTGCTGATGATGATAGGGCTGGTAGTGATGATGATGAGGATGATGATGGGGCTGGTAGTGATGATGATGATGACGATGATGATGATGGGGCTGGTGGTGATGATAGTGATGATGGGGCTGGTGCTGATGATGATGGGGCTGGTAGTGATGATGATGGTGATGATGATGGGGCTGGTAGTGATGATGATGGGGCTGGTAGTGATGATGATGATGATGGGGCTGGTAGTGATCATGATGATGATGATGGTGCTGGTAGTGATGATGATGATGATGATGTTGGGGCTGGTAGTGATGATGATGATGATGATGATGATGATGGGGCTGGTGGTGATGATGATGATGGGGCTGGTAATGATGATGATGATGATGATGATGATGGGGCTAGTAATGATGATGGTGATGATGATGGGGCTGGTGCTGATGATGATGGGGCTGGTAGTGATGATGATGATGACGATAATGATGGGGCTGGTAGTGATGATGACGATGATGATGATGGGGCTGGTGATGATAATGATGATGATGGGGCTGGTAGTGATGATGATGATGATGATGGGGCTGGTGCTGATGATGATAGGGCTGGTAGTGATGAGGATGAGGATGATGATGGGGCTGGTAGTGATGATGATGATGACGATGATGATGATGGGGCTGGTGGTGATGATGGTGACGATGATGGTGCTGGTGCTGATGATGATGGGACTGGTAGTGATGATGATGGTGATGATAATGGGGCTGGTAGTGATGATGATGGGGCTGGTAGTTATGATGATGATGATGATGGGGCTGGTAGTGATGATGATGATGATGATGATGGGGCTGGTAGTGATGATGATGATGATGATGATGGGGCTGGTGGTGATGATGATGATGGGGCTGGTAGTGATGATGATGATGATGATGATGGGGCTAGTAGTGATGAAATTATGATGATGGTGATGGGGCTGGTGGTGATGATTATGATGATGAGGCTGGTGGTGATGATGATGATTATGATGGTGGGGCTGGTGGTGATGATGATGATTATGATGATGACGATGATGATGATGGGGCTGGCGGTGATGATGATGATGACAATGAATCTTCAGATAAGGACAGTGCTAGATGTATGCATGAACTTAGGTCTTTACAACTTACCGATTTGCTTCCGCCGAGCCTTGTCGCAGATGGCTGGTCTAAGATGGACTTTGATGCCGGAATCGAGGAGACAGTCGAGGGAACACACGAGGACGCCGAGGCAAGACTTCTTTAGGATGAGCGCGTTGTGGTTGTTGGTGTTTCTCATGGCCCAGCCACTGACGTGTCTGCGAGCGTCGTCACTGTCTGCTCGATACACGCGACGGTAATGTCCACTTGGCCATAGGTCAAAGGGGTCAGGCGAGTCGGGCTGTGGATAACGAGGTTGACAATGATGAGGATGATGATGATGATGATGATAGCAATGACAAAAACCCTAAAGGATTCTATTTTGTGAGAGAGGTCGTTGACGAGAACAGACCCACTGTCCCCAAGATGTGTGTCGTAAAAGGCACAAATTATGGGTGTTTTCTTCGAAGTCGGAAGTGCATGATATGCAAGGAACTAACAGTCCGCACACCAAAAATTCCAGAGCTGCGAGTATAAAAGGATGTACACTCAAGTTCTCTGTAAGGGAACCCTATCGTCGGGACAGTATAGTTTTTTAGGTAGACACAGGCAGGCCTGTCAATACTTAAAATAGACAAACATTTCCATTGTTTCAATTGAAGTGACGTATAGACCTTGAACTCTCATGCTCTTACTGTTGACACGCGTTTTAGTTTCGCTTCTCACGTTCATCGCCATAGTTTGCTTTGCTTCTGTTTGCTTCTTCTTCTTCTTGTTCTTCTTCTTGTTCTTCTTGTTCTTCTTCTTCTTCTTCTTTTTCTTCTTCTTCTTCTTCTTCTTCTTCTTCTTCTTCTTCTTCCTCTTCTTCTTCTGCTGCTGCTGCTGCTGCTTCTGTTCCTGCTTCTGCTGCTCCTTTTTTCTTCTCTTTCGTCTCTTTCTTCTTCTTTTTCTTCTTCTTCTTCTTCTTCTTCCTCTTCTTCTTCTTCTTCTTTTTCTTCTTCTTCTTCTTCTTCTTCTTCTTCTTCTTCTTCTTCTTCTTCTTCTTCTTCTTCTTCTTCTTCTTCTTCTTCTTTTTCTTCCTCTTCAGTGATCAAAATTCGCATGTCTTCTCAACAGTAAAGTTGCTACTAACCCCACACAACAGCTGACAAATGCTGTCGTTGGTTTCAAACGTCCCGAAAAGTGCATGCAACTCTAGCTTTTCCTGGCGATTCAAAAACCAACTACCTATTTTGTATTCTGGAAAAATAAACTGTGCAAGATGTCACCGAGACTTCTTTATTGCTGATGTTAATGAGTGATCAGTTTCTGAAGCCGACAGGCCATGACAAAGCCTTTAAGCCGTCAACAGATTAGACCAGAATTGAAGTTGTGGCGCTCCTCTCAGCTCGTCGTGTTAGGCCAGGTGTGTCTATTTATTTCTTTTTGGAAACATCTCTGTAGCTGTGCTGTAGAGCCGGCAGGGGCGGATTATTCTTGGGAAATTTTGATCCGCAGTTCTGGGGGGTCTACTGCAGCTGAGGAATATGCCGGTAGAGTTTAGAAGTCCAGACTGATTCGCTTAATTGTATCGCTTTTGGTTCGGTCTCTCAGGACTTATAGCTACTTGTTTAGAGCTGTTGCCTATCACACGAACTGCACCAGGCAAGCCGTTTAGCGATTTAGAGTTCCAGGACTATTCACTTAGTTTTACTCAGGGCCCACAATTTTTAAAATGGGGATCGTCACCGACCAGACGCCTGTGCCCCAGCACAGAAAGATCACTGGGTAAAAGTAAAGTTAGCCCCCCTCCCCCCCCCCATTCACACAATGTTACACACTACCTCACTTCTGATTGGTCGACCTTCAGCCCAGCTCACTTCTGATTGACCGACCTTGAGCAACGCGGCTTTCACACAAGGTTAATGGGGGTGTTCCACAATGCCGTTGATATGAAATGTTGTATCACCCCAGCGCTTTTAAAACTCAAAATATATGGACAAACTGGGTCTAACACACAACCCCCTAGAGGAAGCTGCAACTTATGTTAAAGGCATTTTCTTTCTCGGAAGAAAAAACATAAATGCAAGACAAGCCAGAAAGCAAACAACAAAGCGGTACACCCGTAACCCCCAGGAAAGTAGACCAGTCCAACAAAGTTGTCAATGAAACGTACCTACTTTTTTAGGGAAAACTAACGTTTGTTTAAATGATCATTGATACAATACAACTGGCAATGATTTACGGGCTAGGCCTTCAGGGGCCAGTTGTGGCCAACGGGTCGCCAGTTGAAAAGCCCTGATTTAGACAAACTCGGAGACAAGCACCACTGTGATTTATCAAGAATAGATTTCAAAGGCATAATTCCTGGAAAAATGACTTTTTTGCCTCTGCTTTGCATGAAATTTCCAGATATCAATGAGTTGCGTGTCATCTTCGGGTTATAGCCATCAAACTCCAGCCCAAATGTGGATGAACAACCAGTACTTTCCACTGGAGTTTACAGCCCGTGAACGCGAGGAAGAAGAAGACTGATTTTTATGTCGTTAGCCCATTTAGTTTGCATGGTATTATTTGTATTATTTTTCTAAACGGTAGGACATTCATACAGTTATCAGGCACAGTACAAAGCGGTCTGTTGTCAGTTTTCCTGTAGTTTGACTTAGTCGGCATTGCACAATCCTTAAGCCACTTAATCTACAAAAAGGACGAAGACAAAATTTTACTTCTGATTTATATAAAGATTAGTTAACTGTTTCCGAAATGAAAATCCGTTCCATTCTCTGCACTATCAACAACCATCATTGAATGCAGCCTACGCCCCTTGTCACTACAACCAAAGTATCATTGTTAGACTTCAGCACAAAACATCGTCTTATGTGTTTTCAATGCGGACACGCCTTCCTGAACCCGAGATTAGCCGCATTTGCATAGACTATGAACGTCCCGGATCGGAACTGTATAAACTCATCAAAACGTGATTTGGTTTCGTGTAATGAGTGGTCAGCGCATTTACCACCTGCCACTTTCCACCGTCCAGCTCCTCCTATTCCCATTATAGTGCCTGGACTTAAATGCAGAATAAATGTCAAACTGTGTGGTTTTGTCGCTTAGGGGATCCAACTGTGAGTAAATGAATAGTTCCTGTAAATGCCGTACACAAAGAAAGTTAGTTGGTTGCATATCCTTTTACAGAACTTCACGAACTGACCCACAGCATTTGTTAGTTGGGAAAGAGGTCGTTGGCGAGAACAGACCCACTGTCCCCAAGATGTATGTCGTAAAAGTCGCCAATTATGGGTGTTTTCTTCGAAGTCGAAAGTGCGTGATATGCAGGGAACTAATAGCCCGCATACGAATAAACCAGAGCTACGAGTATAAAATGATGTACACTCAAGTTCAATGTAGGGGGACCATATTGTCGGGACAGTATCGTTTTTAGGTAGACCCAGGTTAGCTGCTGAGGTTTTACAAGGCAATTGTACGTTTTCTAGTGTCCCACTAGACAGCCCTGCGTAGATTTCGTCAGTTTGAGGTTTGAGGTTTGAACAACGGATCAGCATCATGGCACACGGGTAGTAACCCAGAGGTACTCAGTTCTACTTCTAACTCAAGTCTCTGAGTCCGACGAAGCTCAGCACAGTGCACAGGATTCTGAAATACTTTAGGTAGATTTTAAACTCCAAATTTCGCCCGGGCAGCCGCCGTTAAGCTACTCTTTTCGATTTCCAACTGCCAAGGGATTTTTTTACGTTCGCAACAATACACACGGGCGTCCGATCTCACTAACCAAAGAAAAGGGTAAATTACTAGAAGTCCACGTGAAAAAATCCCAGCCCTCACCGGGGCCTAAACCCGGAACCTCCACCACACGAGGCGGACACCGTGCCTCTAGACCAAGCAACCCCCACTTTCCCGCCTCGCCACTGTTATAATGCTATGTAGCCTGCAGCTGAATCAAGCCCAGGCTCTCGGAATTATAAAACTGCGTCCTGTAACCACTCAGCCACAGGAATCGACAAAGAAATTCGCTGTAAATAGGGCCAAGTCCAGGGTATAGTCTCTTCAACAAGCACTACTCAATGAACAAGTAGGGACCATTTGTGGTTTCTTATTGTATGGTAAATACCACATTGATCTTCAGTCAAAAAAAGTAGTTTTGTGGAAGACCAGATGATGCTGTACTAAAACCAATGAGAGCCGCTTGTATTCTACACATAGCGCGTGTAATTATCACCCCTTGCCGACTCTTTCCTTTTGAAGTTTAAAAAAAAATCGTTCAGGTCAAGGTGAATTTATTTTTTTTGATGTTTGATCCGGTCGACTGATTTTGTTATCTCTGTCACCACAGGGGGAACAAAGCAAAAAGGGAAAGACTGATAAATGTAGTATTCAACCATGCACAATCTGTATTCTGATTTAATTATTTAGTTAAAAGAGTTTTCCATGACACAGCTCGTCTTTAAACAAGGCATTTAGTTCGTTTGTTCATTGTACATCATGTACCGTTAATTGTAACTAGTTCACTGTGTCATTATTATTCAAACATCTAAATAATATTCTCGAATCATTATCGTCAAATGCTTAGCCGACTGGTCTTCGCGATATCTTGCCATCTCCTGCAGTATTTTTGTCTATCACTTTAGCTTCACATCTTTACGTCCTTTTTAGGACGTAATTTTTTGTTTTTTGAAGCCCCACTCTGGCTTTTGCCAGGGGCCGCAATATAGGCAGGCCATAAATATGGCCAATTGTCTGAACGCGGTTTCTGGGGCCTCTCCACGGTGATCCTCACCCACATGGTGGCACTTTGTGTCATCGGGTGTTTATCGCTTGTGTGATGTCCTGGTGGGGTAGAAAGTCAGTCAGTCAAATAATATTCTCGAATCATTATCGTCAAATGCTTTGCCGACTGGTCTTCGCGATATCTTGCCATCTCCTGCAGTATTTTTGTCTATCACTTTAGCTTCAAATCTTTACGTCCTTTTTAGGACGTAATTTTTTTTTTTTTTTTTTTTTTTTTTTTGAAGCCCCACTCTGGCTTTTGCCAGGGGCCGCAATATAGGCAGGCCATAAATATGGCCAATTGTCTGAACGCGGTTTCTGGGGCCTCTCCACGGTGATCCTCACCCACATGGTGGCACTTTGTGTCATCGGGTGTTTATCGCTTGTGTGATGTCCTGGTGGGGTAGAAATTCATTCCTGCAGTATGTTTTCATTCGTGTACTGACAAACGCCCATGCCTGGTGTCAAGGACCTTCTCGATTTGTCATCCTCTATTTTATCCTCTTGTGATTTCTCTATCTTTTCAAGAATCTTTCCAGATGTCACAAGCTGTTTCAGTTTCTAATCTTTCCAGATGTCACAAGCTGTTTCAGTTTCTAATCTTTCAGAATGTGCGTAAGGCATTTTGATCATCTCTTTATGATGGCTGCTGCCGTGATGTGGCAGCCAGACGCTCGCCTACGGATCAGAATGTCGTGGGTTCGAACCTGAATGGAGTGGGATTTAGTTCTTTTTAAATGACTGTGGCTTCCAGGTCGACCTACTTTACAAATTGTCCAATTCGCAGCCGTTGGTCAAAACCGGTTCACTTGGATGGGAGTCGTGAACTATCTGGCAGTCTTGTCTGAAACAAAGTTAGTATATTATAAATCATGCAACAACAACAAAAATGCCACAGAAAAGATGCTTGTCTTGTCCACAATTGCCTCACAGCGTAGTGGGGAGTCGCAGTTTTCTATCCTGGGCCAGGTGTGTTGCACGTGTTGTTGTTGGTCCGTGTTGCCTCAGGATCTCTAATATAGTCTAATTATCGTACACTCGGTCTGCCTCTTGCTCTATGGCAGTAGTGCTGTTCGTTGTATGCTCGTAGAGGCAGTTGGTCGGTTTGCATTCGCATCAAGTGGCCAAACCACTCTATTTGTTGCTTCTTTATGTATTGCAGGCATGGTGTGGTTCCTACAATTGCTCTAATGTTCTCGTTTCGAACTCTGTCTCTCCTTGTGACATTGGCAGCCTTACGTAAGCATCTCATTTCGCACGTCGTGATCTTTTTCTCCTGTGCTCTTGTTAGGGACCAGGTTTGGCATTGGTAGCAGAGGGTTGGTATAAATATGCAATTTATCAGTTGTCGTTTCAGTGCAGTCTGGCAGTCAATAAGAAAAAAATACAGGGTGCTTTTGATGCAAAATGCTATAGAAAGATTTTAAGAATACCACGGATCAAGAAGAAAAGAAACACTGACGTCAAAAAGGATATGAACATCGAGGAAGAATGGCTAGCAGTAAAGAATAATATAAAATAACATAACCCTTTACGGGCTCAGATCGTGGAGCTGTATCGATGGAAGTACTAACGCGCAAAACCCGCCATCCTGATGTCCTGCAAATTAGTTTATTTTGTCTCTGGCATATCTGTTTGTTTTATGCTCAAAAACCCATTCGTAAAATTCGTTTATAACATTTACATTAGAAAGACCGAATCCTCCTTTCCTTCTTCTTCTTCTGCGTTCGACATCAGTCATGCTACACATTGAGTCCCGCCTGGGTAAAAAAAAAGGGTTGTGCTTTTAAGGTCGCCACCGGTCACCCATAGCTTCTCTCGCAATGCGGATCCCCTGGGCCAGATCCACAGTCCTCCTTTCCATTTCTGCAGTAAGAGTCCAGCTGTCACATCCGTATAAGACAATACCACGGATTTGTATATATTGACTTTAACTGCGATGTATATTTTGTTCTTCCACATCGTTTTCAACTGGGACATCGCGGCTGTTGCCAAATCAAATCTTGGCCTGATCTCTTTGGTACCGCTGCCATCGTTACATATGTGGCAGCCAAGGTATTTAAATTGTTTTAACTTCTATATATTTTCCCTTTTATCTGTATGTTGGTAGCTATCTGATTATTGTGGCTATTTACCAGAATCTTGTTTTTCACGGCAAAAATGTCCATGTCATAATTACCACAGACTGTCTCTAATTTTGAAGTAAGTTCTTTGAGTTCTGTTTCGGAACCAGCCATGAGATAAATGTCGTCTGCAGAACGTGAATTACATAGTTGTCTTCCACCAATGGATATAGATGTTTCATGATGTTCTAGAGCTTCTCTCGTTATGTGCTGCAGATAAAAATTGGCAAAGACAGGGAATATAATGCAAACTTGTCTCACTCCCACATTGGTTTTGAAAAATGTACCTATGTCATTTTGAATGAGTACTGCACTGCTTGCATCTTTATAAAGTGCTTCAATTATGTCTAAGAAGTTCTTATCGAAAGCAAACAGCAAATCGTTTCGGAAACGAAAATTTTTGTATATATCAAGCACAATGACGGATTGGAAAAAATAGTTGCAGATTGCATGGTACCAGGAAGGATGGTTAATGGCCAGCCAGCTGGAAGATTGGCACAGGATATAAGTGACGCCTTGAGCAGGAAAGTGCACGAGGCGGGAAAACTGGCATTTACGAGTTTCTTTCAGACAGACGGTGATGAGCACGACGTTCCGCACAGGACAGACTACAGTATGATGATGATGACCTTGATGGTCCTATTTCGATTACATAATTTCTTCCATTTTCCGTTGAACTTCCTCAATACAAATTTAAAAGCAATACTGAAATGAGCACTGTATCCCTTAGCCAGGAATAGAAAATACTATATAGAATTTTATTAGCTCAATCAGGAGCCGCGGCTGCGTTAGCGCAGTCGATAGGAGACTCACATCTAGCTGCGACTCGCTGCAGCCCATGGCTGGTGTTCGAAACCGGACGGTTCCTGGGGTTCACCCAGCCTTTAGGAAATGGGTACCAGAGTTCTTTCTTTAGGGTAAATGGAGGAACGTCGCTGTAGCAACGGAGTTTCGTGCGGACGGCGACACAGGCTGACAATTTCATAGCAGCTGTCCGAACTGGTGGCAGAGGATTTATGGTTTATTACCGCGAGCAATGACGTTGGTTCACATCTCCCGACTTTACCTTTTTGAGATATATATATACATACATATATATATATATATATATATATATATATATATATATATATATATATATATATATATGTATATATATATATATATATATTGTTTTGTTAGCAGACGAAAGATTGAAACACGTCTACAGCCCCTAGTGAGACGAGAGGGATTATGGGCGGACAACAAACAATAAGATATCATTAAGTGCATTTTTCAAGAGACAATCGAACATTGTGATATGTGACGGTCAACGAGATTTAGGCTGAAGACATGGTGTACGATTCGATGACAAGTTAATTATACCAAAGGCAATTCAAGCCCATGAAAGGTCATGTTTTCTGACCTCTGAAGGTCGAGCCAAGCATGGCTGACCTGAGAGAGGTCAGAGGGCGAGCAGGTTGTGGTCACCGTGTGCACGTGTCCTGTCTAAGGTATTGTGGCTACTGTGGCCTCACTATTCAACTTCCGTCTCAAACTACGGGAAGTTCCCATTACACATGCGCATAGTTTACCATTGACCGGTGGTTTTAAACGGTTTATGCACCATAATTTTGTTTTGCAAACGGTGGCAGATGGTGGGAATTCTCAGACAGTAAAGATTACTTTTGTATTTATTGTATCCTATTTGGGTAAATAGCGACGTTGTATTTGACAGCTAGGTTATGGATATCTAAATATTTAATGAGGAGTAAAAGCCACCGACGAATGCTGCTCCTAACACCCCGATAGTGCCTCGTGCTCCCTGATTGGGCCCCTGTGTCCCTAACAAGCAAGACGTACATGGCGACTAATTAGGGATTTTTTTTTCCTCTCCGAAGTTGGTATATACAGTATGAACATAGGCAACGCTAACATAGACATTACTAACATTGACAATACTGACATGGACAATGTTAATATGGATTACATTACCAGAGATAATTATAAAATTTACAATACTGACGAAGAAAAATTTGACATAGACAATTCTGGCATAGAAAATACTGGCATATGCAATACTGACATGGCCAATGCTGACATAGACAATGCTCTCATAGACAATAATGACATAGACAAAACTGACATAGGCAATACTGACATATTCAATACTAACAGACAAAAATGACATAGTCAAAACTGACAGACAATACTGACATAGACAATACTGACATAGACAATACTGACATAAACAATACTGACATAAACTATACTGACATAGACAATGCTCTCATAGACAAAACTGACATAGGCAATACTTAAATGTACAATACTAACATAGACAAAAATGACATAGACAATAATGGCATAGACAATAATGACATAGGCAATAATGACATAGACAATAATGACATAGACTATACTGACACATGCAGTACTGGCATGGACAATACACATAGACAATGTTCACATCGACAATCTCACATCGACAATAATAACATGGATTATACTGACATAGACAATACTGACATAGACAATACTGACATAGACAATACTGACATAGACAATACTGACATAGACAATACTGACATAGACAATACTGACATAGACAATACTGACATAGACAATACTAACATAGACAATACTGACATAAGCAATGCTAACATATGCAATACTGACATGGACAATACTAACATGGATTATAGTGACATAGACAATAATGACATAGACAGTGCTCACATAGACAATATTGACATATGAAATACTGACATAAATAATACTGGCATAGACAATGCTTACATAGGCAATGCTCACATAGATAACACTGGCATAGACAAAACTGACAGAGACAAAACTCACATAGACAATACTCACATAGACAATGTTGGCATAGACAAAACTGACAGAGACAAAACTCACATAGACAATACTCACATAGACAATGCTCACATAGATAATGTTGGCATAGACAAAACTGACAGAGACAAAACTCACATAGACAATACTCACATAGACAATGCTCACATAGATAATGTTGGCATAGACAAAACTGACAGAGACAAAACTCACATAGACAATACTCACATAGACAATGCTCACATAGATAATGTTGGCATAGACAAAACTGACAGAGACAAAACTCACATAGACAATACTCACATAGACAATGCTCACATAGATAATGTTGGCATAGACAAAACTGACAGAGACAAAACTCACATAGACAATGCTTACATAGGCAATGCTCACATAGATAACACTGGCATAGACAAAACTGACAGAGACAAAACTCACATAGACAATACTCACATAGACAATGCTCACATAGACAGCACTGACAGAGACTACGCTGGCATAAACTACACTGACGTACACAATACCTACCATTGGCAGCGTGCTGTCATTGATGTCCCACTGACGGCTGGCGTGCGATGCCCCTGGAGATGTGGGAGTTCTGGTGCCTCCAGACACTAGGCCACGCTGTTTGACCTGAGCAGAGCTGCACGGAGATGTTGAGGCGTACTCCTGACATACTCCGGGAGTCATACAATGAGGCGACTGGCACTGGGAGCCAACCGGAGCTGCGGAAGCTTCAGAAGATGCCATCATGGCGGAGGATTCGCTATCACTTAGTACTAGCATGGTAGAGCTTGTGATACGCTGTGAAAAGTTCAGTTCTATTCTTAGTTGTTTTACTGAATCCCGGAATGAAATCCAAGTTTAAAAGATGAGTAGTTCTCTCTCCACTTGTTATCTTCATTAAGCTTGTTTCCTATAGAGGCGAAAATATATATATTGTTAATAATGTTTATAATGCTAATAAAATAAAATGGTTTGGTCATGTAATAGAATTGGCATGAGACAGGGCACTACAGAGAGCAATGAGGTCGACCACGCAGAACATTTTTTTTCACAGTGCTTTCCTTTAGTCCCAACATTTTCCAGTTTTGTCTACAGGGCCAAGCCTTTTTTTTTTTTTTTTTTTTTTTTTTATAACGGCAACCTTCTCTTTTCTTATTGTTGTGAAAAGTTATCATTGAGTCTTTACCTTCTTCAAAACATGTTTTTTTTTTTTTTTTTTTTTTTGTCAAAAAAAAATCTGACGATTCTTCTGTAATGCACATCTCCCGTACCTCAACAATGTGTTTGACTGGTTTATTCATTGTTCAGAATTTACAGCCATGTATTAAAAATCTGGCCCTATACTGCTTGCGAGAATTGTTTTCCTAACCTTTCTTGTGTTAAACAACTGTGATTAATGCATACGTGAAAATCAAAGCCAATAAATGACCTTTTTTTCGATTGGCGTGAACAAGAATACTTCACTGCAACTTGTGTTATTCACAGACAGATATCATCGTGGGCTGATACATTCGGGTGCATGTCTGTGCCATTACAGATGCCAGTCAATTACATCTTCTTCCTATCTGCCTGTATCCCTTGTCCCAGACAGACATCTCTCAATTGTTCAAAGCACTTTCCACTTTCTATCTTCTCTTTATGACGTTTGTCATGAGTTACCTTGTGTCTTAGCCTGTTAAAAAACGCTTAGATCATTCAGTTTGAAATTCCACAAAGCGTCCAGCATTCTTTTACAAATCCAAATATATGAGGCAATATTTGGGATGTTTATTAATCATACTATACAAAAGCATTTGACTGTGTGAAGCATGAAGAAGTAATCAAACTGTTAGAAAAATTAAACATTGATGGGAAAGATCAACGAATAATAAATAATATGTATTGGCAGCAAACAACTGTTTAGGTACATTTCAAAGCATAAAGAGGGGCGTACGACAAGGATGTGTACTGTCACCTGATTTGTTTTCAATATACAGTGAATATATAATGAGATCTTTAATTGATATGCCCAGAATTGTGGTTGGTGGGCACAATATAAACAATTTACGTTATGCTGATGACACAGTCTTGATAGCAACAAGTCAGAAAGAATTACATTTGTGGATCTCTGTGGGATCCAGAGAGAGAAAAACAAATATCATTATATTGTTATCAGTATGTGTCATTTTAAGAACTAGCGCCGTCTCCGCTTCTCTGCAATCGTTGAGATTGATTTAGTTCTGTACCCAAATGTTACGTTAGTGATTCAGTGGTGCCATTGTTTTACAATATTTATGTATATAATTCTAGCACTTCTCTCAAATTAGTACCACTGACATTAACTGTTTCTGAAAACAGCATCCGGTTAGTTGATACCGTCATTATTTCTGCTTTTCTGTTTTTGAGAATAACGCATTGTTTTCTCTGTTTCTAGAACTTTATAACCATATTTGTAAACAAACGTGAGTTAGCTTCTTCTCCCGCTTCTGCTATGTCTTCTCCTGCTCCTCGTCCTCTTCTTCTCCTTCTTTTTCGTGTTCACTGAATCTAAACTTGGCGGGAAAGTTCTGGTAGTTCGCGAATCTCTGGACTTTGGTATTAGTTTCTTGACACTTCCACTGTATAGATCTGGCTTATTTATGTGTAAGATGTACGTTCCAGGCCTCTCTGGCAGATGCACTCCGATTTGGAAGGAAACGATGATGCTATCAGCGCTGGCCATGCTTCCGGTTGAGAACCTGCTTCTTTGATGACCCCAGAGAAGTGCAGATAGCTTTTTGGCCAGTACGAGCCCTAATCTGGTGACCAACCACTTGTGGGTTCAGCAATTTTGCCACCTATTTATGCGATAACAATGTTTCTTTAATGTGCCAGCACAGCCATATAACACTGTAAGGAGCCATATAACACTGTAAAGAGCCATGTAATACAGTAAAGAGTCATGTAACACAGTAAAGAGCCATATAACACTGTAAACAGCCATGTAATACAGTAAAGAGCCATGTAACACAGTAAAGAGCCATATAACACTGTAAACAGCCATGTAATACAGTAAAGAGCCATATAACACTGTAAACAGCCATATAACACAGTAAAGAGTCATGTAACACGTAAAGAGCCATGTAACACAGTAAAGAGCCATGTAACACAGTAAAGAGCCATGTAACACAGTAAAGAGCCATGTAACTCAGTAAAGAGCCATATAACACTGTAAACAGCCATGTAATACAGTAAAGAGCCATGTAACACAGTAAAGAGCCATATAACACTGTAAACAGCCATGTAATACAGTAAAGAGCCATGTAACACAGTAAAGAGCCATGTAACACAGTAAAGAGCCATGTAAAACAGTAAAGAGCCATGTAACACAGTAAAGAGCCATGTAATACAGTAAAGAGCCATGTAACACAGTAAAGAGCCATGTAACACAGTAAACAGCCATGTAACACAGTAAAGAGCCATGTAACACAGTAAAGAGCCATGTAACACAGTAAAGAGCCATGTAATATAGTAAACAGCCATGTAACTCAGTAAATAGCCATGTAACAGGGTCAAGAGCCATAATTTACACATAAACACTTGCTTACTATACGATAATCTGTCAGTTATAAGGAAAATAAATGAAGTTCCGGCAGTGAATACAATACCTGCATGTGAAGATAACGTAATTCATTTCCCCAAAATTGAAGAGCGGGTCTCTAAATCCCGCGATGCCTCGGAGAGATGTGACCGACTCTGTTCCTCTGCTACAGATATTTGAAAACCCTTAGAGACAGCTGTGTATTCAAATAAGCATCGGAGGAGACACAGATTGGGCATGGCGACAGCAAGCAGAGGGCGTGTTGAAGATGTCTCGACGCACGAGCGTCGCTATCTGGTGAGTCGAAGGGCGCTCACCACAGAGAGATGCAGACTGTCTGTGATGCAAGAGCGAAGGCGGGTCTACTTTAGGCCAGCCCTCGCGCTTAGCGCCTCAATCTAACGGGACGTCAAAGCAATTCAAAAGGGACGGATCCTGTGACAAACTGCGGCACGTGGCCAATATAGTGATTTTTTTTTTTTTTTCATTGGGCGCCTGTGGGATGGTTCGTTAGCATAATATATGAAGGAAATTAGTCACGGCTGAGTAACTTTGTGGTTCTAGGGGCTTCAAATTAACTACACCAGAGGCTGTCTAAAATTAAATCAACACAGCTTCAGTAAATCAGAGAGACAATTTATAAATAAAGTGAAGTATTACAACACATAAGACGAAGGCTGGAATCCACGGGAAAGAGTCAGCCACACATAACACGTTGTTTGGGGCTGAAAGAATTAAGGCCCTCTTGTCCGAAAAAACCTTAGAAAGTGGTAAATGCAATCAGTGAAGACAGGGTGACATGTATTTAACAAAAAGGTTACAGAGAGCATTGAAGATCTGGTTTAGACAACAGATGCGAAATGCCGACAAAATTCACAATTTATTATCTTAATGCATCAGGAAATAAAAGTGTTTTACTTGATGTAAACTCAGCAGAAAGGTCATGTTGTTGGCCCACTTCCCGAGTTTTGCGTGCACATACGTTTGACACAAAACAATAACACAAGGATCCAGTCATTCACGGAGCTGCAGTCACTGAAGGCTTGGAGCTTAAATGGATCACTGAAGCATCAGGCAGGTCAGAAGCAGACACGCATGTCAAATGAACTCTGACAGTACCGTCCAGGTAAAAGCGACAACAGCTGCTGACAGGTGTGTATATGTGACATTTAGCATTAGGACCTGGGTAAGGTGACTTTCAGCTAGTAGAGAAACCCTGAGTTGTGAACCCTTTGGCTCGGTACTACGGATATTGCAACCCTTCGGCCTTGATTCCATGATAGACACCGTAAATATGGGAGAAATGTGGCTTTTTTGCCTACCCCTGAGCGTGAACTCGAATCACAAGAAGTTTGTTACCCAGTCGCCGCGCAGCTGGTTTAACCAACTTAGCTAGCGCCCTGAAGTGGAAATAGTAATTTTTATTTGCTCGTAAAAAAAAAACGTTTGTGTCTGTATGTATGTGCGTTTGTATGTAAGTATGTTTGTATGTATGAGTGTCTGTTTATATATGTGTTTGTATGTACGTATGCAGGTACGTACTTATACATGCAAGTGTGTCAGCCACACTGTCAGTTTGCCTGTCTGCTTGTATGTATGTACGTTCGTCTTGTGGCTGTCCTGTACGCACGCAAAGATGTATTTGTCTGTCTTTTTGTCTGCCTCTTAATAGATTGCTGTCTGCCTGCATATCATTATTTTTATACCTGCCTGTATGTATGTATGTATGTATGTATGTATGTATGTATGTATGTATGTATGTATGTATGTATGTATGTATGTATGTATGTATGTATGTATGTATGTATGTATGTATGTATGTATGTATGTATGTATGTATGTATGTATGTATGTATGTATGTATGTATGTATGTATGTATGTATGTATGTATGTATGTTATGTATGTATGTATGTATGTATGTATGTATGTATGTATGTATGTATGTATGTATGTATGTATGTATGTATGTATGTATGTATGTATGTATGTATGTATGTATGTATGTATGTATGTATGTATGTATGTATGTATGTATGTATGTATGTATGTATGTATGTATGTATGTATGTATGTATGTATGTATGTATGTATGTATGTATGTATGTATGTATGTATGTATGTATGTATGTATGTATGTATGTATGTATGTATGTATGTATGTATGTATGTATGTATGTATGTATGTATGTATGTATGTATGTATGTATGTATGTATGTAT